CCCACTTGCACGCAGCCAAAAGGCAAAGAGGTAAAGAAAAGGAGGAGGAAGCCAAACCTGACAGGGAAAGAAAGAAAAGTCAATTGTCACAAATGAAATAACACATCCCACAGATCAACATATCTTTTTTTTTTTTTTTTCTCTTTTTTTCCTTTTCTCTTTTTCTTTTCTTCTTCTTTTCTTTACCTGTCCCCACCTCGGCAGATAAGACAGCTACGGTGAGGATGATGTGGATGTTCACAAGGATGCCCAAGGAGAGCTGCGCCAGCACAGCATTCAGCAGGACGGCTAGCACGAACCATCCCATCAAAACAGTCCTGACAGAGGACATGTTGTCCACAATTATCTATTTGTGACGATATATATCGTCATAGAGAACTGCCCGGTGAACCAACCGTAAGTAGAGAGAGGGAGAAGAGGACAACACACGAGGGACTGTGACAGACTTTCGTCGAACTTTCACCGCTATTTCACAGACTTACCATCAGTAGTCTGAACCCTCTCTACAGTCTGCAGATTCCCCTCACCAGTAATACATTAGTGATATTTCATGTATAATTTTCTTGTTATCATTTCTCCTTTTTTTTTGCTTTTCTCTTCCCCATTTATGAGGTATTTCGTTTTGCGGACCTACTCTTTGGTTCCGTTTTTTTTTTTTTTCTTAACTAGTGGATATGGTAGAACTTAGTTGTTTTGGTAACCTTGTCTGCTTGCATCCCGGTTGGTTTTGTCCCGTCGTTGTTCGGTCTATTTCGGCGAGCGTAGCGTAGCGGTGCTTTCATGTGGGACTAGGCGGTGCTTTTAGGTGGGAATCGTCATCTGGGATTGTCTTTTATGTTTTTTGTCCCAGTATAAGAACGGTTTACAAATGGGAATACCCACGTCTTGATGACTAATAAGGCCATCTGCTGTATATATATAGATATGTAATCTGGGATTTCTCTTTTTTTGCAGACAAGAGAGTTTTGTCCTGGGTGGTCTTGGCCTGTCGTTTGGCCGGTGAAGGAGGGAGGGGCGGTGCTTGCATGTGGGAGTTGTCATCTAGGATCCGTTTTTGGTGCTATTGCTTGTTGGCCCCTGTTTTGTTTTGTTGTATTTGGCTGTTCTCTTCCTCTTTTCTTTGCCTCTTTGCCTTTGGCTGTGTGCACGTGGGTTGATATGACACACGGGGGTGGGGGCAGCAGCTGCCGCTCAACCTACATCCACGTGGGCGGCCTTGTACGCAAGAGGTTCTGAGCAGGGGGAGCTGCAAGGAAGAATATCAAAAAACGAATTGTTTTTTTTCTTGTTTTCTTCTGTTTTCTTCGCCTTTGCGCTCTGATATTCATGTGACCATGTCAATTGCTTCGTTTGGCTTATACGCCTTCCTTCCTCTTCTCTTGTCCTTTCTCTCACTGGATCCTTTTTTCTTTTTCTTGCCTCCTTGAGGTCTGGTTTCCTCCTCCTTTTCTTCACCTCTTTGCCTTTTGGCTGCGTGCAAGTGGGTCCTTGTGAGACACGGGGATGGGGCCAGCCAGCGCTCAACCTGTCATCCACGTGGCTGGCCTTGTACGTAAGAGGTGACGAACAGGTGGGCTTCCTTCCTTTTTTTCTTTCCCTTCCTTGTTTTGCTTTTTTCCGCCTTTGCGCTCCGATTCACAGTGTGACAATATATTGGGGGGGATGGGCTTGGGGGGGATGGGCAACCGCTCAACCTACATCCACGTGGGCGGCCTTGTACGCAAGAGGTTCCGAACAGGGGAAGTTGTAAGGAAGAAGATTAAAAATCAATTCATTCTTTTCTTTTTTTCTTTTCCTTTTTTTTCGCTTTTGCGCTCTGATATTCATGTGACGATATATATATTGTCACATTGTGAATCAGAGCGCAAAAAAAGGGAAAGGAAAAAGGAAAAGGAAAAAAGGGGGAGGGGGAAGAGGTAAGGAAAGCTCCACCTGTTCATAACCTCTTACGTACAAGGCCAGCCACGTGGAT